ATGGAAAAAGGGATTTCTTTTTCAGGGCAAAATGGAATTTAATTTTAAAATCTATAATTCTGAAGTTTAAAATATTAAAGGGACATAAGATTAATCCTTTCAGCTCTCTTTAGAAGAATAACAATTCTTAACATTTTTAAAGTTCTTTTTATATTGGCTTTATTTGCTTCCTTTAAAAACTTGACAATTTTAAAATGTGGTCTTTTGATTCTATGAGGCAAGAAATGACTGAACAAAGAGTCCAAGTTTTCCTAAGAAATACTTAGTTAATAAACATTGAAAAGCAGCGTTTGTGTATCCTGTATCTTTCATACTACTATCCTTGGTGTGATAAGTGCAGAGCAATGGTAATGATGCAGTTTCCATAGCAACTGGTTCATTGGAGGGCTAGACCTCTGTCTAGGGTGCTGTCAGTGTGTGTGGAGTTTCAGAGAACAGAAAGTCCCAAAGAAGGTCTGCTTCCACCTAATCCAGTTTTAATTGAACTCCAGAGACTTTGAAGTGAAGCTACAGACCAGGCAGATAGTATTCCAACTAGAAATGAAGGTCTTGCTCAGCTAGGCCTCAGCTGCTCCTCAGTAGTGATAACTTCTAATGAATGCTTTAAAGAACTGTTGTTGAAAAGGTGCCTGGTAGTACATGTGTACTTGAGTCTTTTTTTTTCAGTTGTTTCCAAGTTTATACGATAAACCTTGTGGGATTCAATAACTTTGTGATAATTATAAGAAGCATGCTTTATAAAATATCTGCTACTTATAGGTCAGTGGATGTTTCTTCCTGCTGTTTGTTTAAGGATGTAATAGAAATTTGTTCACTTATGATGTTTTAACTGTATACTAGCTGTCACAAATGACTTCAGTTTGAGGAAGTAAAAAGTATATTTGGACTTTTAATTTTCTATTTTCGTTCGTCATTTCTGTGTACTTGATGTTTGACTTGAAATGAGCATGCATACAATGAGACTGTGAGACTGCCAGTCAAACTGAATTTTACCTTCTTAATTTAAATGTATGAAATTAGCCAAATTTATCAATTGGCTTCTAAGCCCCCAAAATACAGACTCCAATTCTAAAAATATTACTTAGATTTTCAAGTGAAATCAAGCTTTTTCTAAGCATAGTTTTTAGGCTTGCTTCTTGGTCTTCTCAATCAATCTTTGTTTTTTCATACTTTCTTTTTAAATACAGATTGTTTTGTGGGTAGCTCCACAAAGTTGTGTGAGGCTCTCAGTTAGCTGGAGTGGGTTAAAGACCGTAATTATCAATCAGGGTGCTTTGGCATCCTGGGGTGCTTGAGATCCTTTCAAGAGTGCTGCAGGATGCCATACAATGTTAGTACTGTTGGGTGTGCAAACATGATTCACAAGATAAATCCATAGCTTTCAAATAGGAATTCATGGTATTAAATAACATTGTGACCTATTATGGTCTTTCTGAGACCTTTGGAACAGAAGAATTGTTCTATTATTTTTCTGTAGTCAAAAAAAAAAAAAAGACCGAAAACCATTGGCGATGTGTAGAGGATGCA